CCCCCAAAAAAAATAATCCATACAAAAAAAGTCTTTATTCAGTCCAGTCTCTTACTTTAAAGTCTTCTGGAGCATGAGAAGAAATGCTACAACTCTGACACACATGATCTAGTGATTTATATTTACTAGAGCAAATCATTGTCTATATTTTTATAATTTCTGTGTGTCTTGCTAGAACTGTATTAGTGTGAACTACTAGGATTGTCATCTAGGTCACCATTGACAGGTTCACCAAGCAGGAGCATAAACACTGATGAAAAGAAGGCAAGATGGCCAAAATCCTGCATCTATGGCCAAAATCCTGCATTGGGAGATGTAACTGCAGTAATGTAGCTCCATTGCTACATTTGCTGCTGTGACCCCAAACAAAAACTATCTTAGAAGCCAGGCAGCCATGCCAACATAGCAATTTCTGAGGTACTTTGGACCTGGGCAGTGGGTGAAGAAATATTCAGCCCTTTCCTGGTAGCAATGTCCTTTGCGACCTTGCAAGGGCCCTGCTGCTTTCTGTCGCAAAACACCTTGCTGCTGAGAGATAGCTGGATGCTTCTCCTCACTACTCAACTTCTCAATGGTTTGGAAAAGCCTATGTTGTGGGGGTTGTCTTGTTTCTAAGGTAGATTTTTGAGGAACCCCTCAGTTGTTGCATGATGCATATAAACTTGAATTACAAAATTTACAATGTCATAGGTTTAACTTTTAAATACTAAGTAGGAGGCCAGCCTATGTATTTTTCAAAGTATTTGTCACTTCTCAGCCTACCAGGACTCTCAGGGGCTAGACAAAAAGAGGTGCTTTCAGGCTGACCTGGAGGCATGGCATTTAGATGATGCACACCCTAAAGGTAGCAGGAAAGTGCCCTCTATGAGCCTTATGCAGAGAAAAGCCACTTCAAAAACAAGCAGCTTTTTTTCCGCTTCTTTCTGAAAAGGATGCACCTTCGGAGGAGCATTTGAATGCACCTCACATGTAATATGCCCACGTAAATATCCCACCACAGGTGCATAGGTGAATGAGGTGCGGCTCCAGAGCATGTGCTATATGAACTAGGCTTCAATTTAAAGTGCCCTATACTTCCCGGTGTGGATACTCCACCACAGGTGCACAGGTGACTGAGATGCGGGTCCAGAGCATGTGCTATATGAAACAAGCTTCAATTTAAAGCACCTTATGGTCACCAGTTTGGATGCTTTGCCACATGTGGGCCTGTATATTACAACCCTAACTATAACCCTACGCATGCACCCGAGCAACTGTGGGACGCTTAAAGTGTTGCTGCCGGATGTTCTGGCAGGAGAAAGTGATAAGTGTCACTTTCACAACCACACACATTCCAGCACCATTTTCCC